TTTTGGTATCAAAATGGACGACTCTTTTGTGCCGGTTGCAGAAAAATACATTTAAACGTTGACGTGTCTCGCGAATTTTCAGGAGCGAATTCATTCCAGAAAAAGTCTCCACAATGTATAGTTGTTGGGCAGATTCTTGAACTACTACCTATTATAATCATCTCGATAATAACAACGGAGAGGAATTTTCTGTTTTTTTTTTTCATTGAACTCCACAGCACCGTGAAAATGCTCGGTTTTTGTCAGTGCAAACAATGTTTCCTGAAAATGAACCGTGAAAAAGCTGGATTAGGAAAAAATCCGAAATTACCATTTTTAATAAAACACTTTCGTCTTTCGTGAAATACCAGCACGTTCATGGAAATAATAATCCATTTGGATTATCACGTGTGCCTTGGCAACAGCTTGTCCGAATTTTCTAGACTATAATGCCCATATTCGACAATATAATTGGAAATATATAGGCTCTTTATATATAGGTAATGGGAGTTAAATCCATATCATAGCGTACATAATATGTTTATTGGACGATATTGAGAGTTATTTCAATTAAAAAAATATTGAAAACCAATATTACAAAATGAGAAATTATTATACAGGGTATTTCAAATTTGTATATAGATACGACATATGTAGATATATAGGGCACTTAGGTGATTCCAAATCAACCAGTATATTGATGTGTCTACTGTTTTCTATAACTGAGATACAGGACGTTATATTGATTCTGGCAAAAATGTTATCTGGTCATAACTTCCGAATCACTGTTTTAAATCTGTCTGCCGTTTTCTATAACTAAGATACATGACGCCATCTTGATTCTGGCAAAAATGTTATCTGGTCATAACTTCCGAATCACTTTTTATAATCTATTCACACTTGGTAGGTATATTTCATTTATACCTATTACCAATCAAACCTAAAGAGGAATCAAAATCAGATACTGAGGAGGGTTTGATACCTGAAATGAGTTCATACGAATAAACTCATATAACCTGTTTCTGAGAGATATAATATTCCCATATCACTGATACGAATGATTTTTGGAGATTTCAAGCTCATAATGATCAGAGTTTATACAAGTGCAGTACGTAGTTTTTGAAACGTATCAGATTAGTATGGATGTAGTTTTCATTAGGTATTAGATTAGTATAATAGAGATCAGATAATTTTATACGACGCTATAAAAGCAGATGATATTTTATCATTGCTCATGTAAGATGGAAGAAGAGGCCATGGCACCAGATCATGAGCATATTTTTAAATTGAAACTATCATTGGGCACCAAAGATGTGTATACGACGCTATGAAAGTTCAGAGAACTGGAGATTTTTCCCACAAACTACGTACTTAGCCCACTCGACTGTCTTGGTTTTTCCACACAAACTACGTACCTAGCCCACTCGACTGCCAATAGGGACTAAAAAAATGAAAGAAAGTTAAAACAATGCCAACATATTTCTTCTTTGTGGGAAATCAAGGCAGTCGAGTGTGCTTTCTTTACTTTCTTCTGTTTTTTGTTTTGTTTTCTATTGGCAAGTGATTATCTAGGAACTTGTAAATTTTTTAGTTTTTTCATCGTATCTCCCGAACTATTGAATTCAGAGAAAAATGTTATACGGATTTTTTGTAGATTCTATCAAAAGGAATAATTGTGGTTCTATAACATTTTCAGATATCTTCAGTTGTTTTCGAGATATTCGGAATTATCTGAGAATAAAATTTTCAACACTTTTGTTCCATCTTCCAATCAATTAACAAAATGAAAAAATATTTCATGATTCATGGATATATGACGTAGACATGTCACATCATTTTAACATCGAAAATAGTTCAGTGGCGCAAAGTAGAGACGTTAGACAAGAAAATATTTATCGAATCTCTCTATATTTCAATGCGGCCAGGTTGGTAGCCTGAGGAGAAAGATGGAAGAGGAGAGAACTTTTCTCTCTCTCGTTCGAGGTAGAAAAGAGCTCAATTATCTTGACGTTACCAATAATATCATTGACTTCACCCCTAGATACAGAAACCTCGTCCAATCAGGACATCAGTCCCTTTTCATCCACAACAATATTCAGAAGCAAAAACTGTCACAACCCTGTATAATCTCCGTATTCAAGTCATCACCCTGTCTACAGCAATCTCATCCAGGAGTGTGATGCAGTTCCTCTCCAGAATTGTGGATGTCATTTCCAGACAATTGGGAAACAGAAATAAGATATCTATCTAGTTACATGTTATTTGGGACTGATACATGACATAATATCCATCATATAAAAAAAAGTTGCTACACTTCATTAACATGATGTAAATGTAAATCGATATTTACAAAGTGGACAAAAAGAAGAGAGAGACCAATTGACACGGATAGAGAAATGGTTCACTCACAAAAATGAAAGGCTAATATGGAAACGTCTTCTTAGTAGTTGAAATTATTATGCAGATATTTCAATATCTTTCCATTTAGTATTAATTTCGATTTACGGCATTCCTAAAATGAAAGATAAGTTGCAATATAAAGTTATTTTCTATTTGTGGTTGTTTCAAACGCAAATGTAGTTAGATAGACTCTGTTTTATTGTTTTTCAATAGAATAGGGACCTATCAGCTGCATTTTGGAGATATATTCATGTTGTACAGGGTGCGCCAAAAACACTAAATGTATCAAAGTGTCTATTTTTTAAATGGAAAACCCTGTATATCAATGCATTTTTAGATTCTCCCTGAAGAGCTGATTACGTCAATACATCACTCTTGGGGTCTAGCGGAAATGATTACAAAGATATAGGATAGGGTGTTCGAAATCGAGACTTTTCATATTTAGGATTATTTTGTGCCGAATATTTCCATTATTGGTCAAAACGGCTTACATGTCTCTATTTTAACTTTTGATTTACTATCTTCTCACATTCAATTAGAACAGATACAGGGTGGTTCAAGATTCAGAATCCTGATCACCCTGTATATGTTCCAATTTAATCAGTCTACCACAAATTGAAAATATGAAGGATGCAAGAATGAAAATAGCGTGCCTATAAGTTTGTTTGTGAGTTTCAAACGTATTTTTTTGAATTAGTTGTTATTTGAGGGAGGCGGAAAAATCATACGAACCTATAACATGGGTATGCAAAGTGCCTTTTTTTCCTTTTCCGGGAGAAAAAGTTGCACTTTCCTCCTTTGTTACACAAATAGCTATTTATAACCTGTGTGGCACTTCGTATAAGTCAAGCAAAATGTTGTTTTACTTGAGTTTTGTTAAATGAAAGCAATCAGTAGATTTTTTAATGCTGCGCATATTCAAAAACTACCCCAGAAAAATAACCAACTATCAGAAAAAGTTACCAATTCAATACAGATTCCGAAATGGTTCAACATATGGGGATATTCTAAACAGCCTTTTTTTGAAAGTAGTAGTAGGTAGCGATTTTCTGATAAATTCAATAATCTTCGAACGATCAACAATTTGATAACTGTACATATACCGTTAGTTTGATGACTCCCACTTCTTCAGATCCATGACACCCTGAATAAAACACATAGTGAGTTAGGTCGAATATATATTCAGATATTTTTTGGTCGAAGATTCTCAGATATTTCATGATTATTCCATAGAAGAGTATAGTGATCGCCATCTCCTTGAAGTGAATACTAGTAAGACTAAAATATTACTGTTCTCGAGAGGAAACCCGAGATCGAAGAAAGCCAGACTCCTGTATAAAGAAAAAGAGATTGATATCGTCACAGAATTCGTCTATCTTGGCGTCACTTTCACTTCCTCTTCCCTTTTCAATAAAATGTCCCGACTGACAGTTGAAAAAGCGAAACATGCGACTAGCTCAGTAACAGCTCTGATGAGGAGAACTAAAATGGATTCCTCGGAATCGCGCATGCAACTGCTTGACTCACTAGTTCTCAGCCTCGTAACTAACTGTATACCAGTATGGGGAACAAGGTACATCGACCTCATAGAGCGCGTCCAAATCAATTTTTTGAAACGAATACTCCTTCTCCCCATCAACACTCCAGACGCAATCGTCAGGCTGGAAGCTTGTCGTGTGAAAATCTCACTCACAGTTTTCAAGCATATTATAAATTGGCTCACCAAACTCCAACAAATGGGAGATCATCGTCTTCCAAAGATCTGTTTTCTAAGGCAACTAGAAATCACAACCTGCGAATCCAAATACAACTGGACTATGCAAATAAAAACTTTTTTCGAATATGCTGATTCACCCATGAATATATCGAATATTGAAACAATAGACCTCAGAAAAATCAAAAAACAACTTCTCAATACTTTCGAAGAGAAGCTAAGACATGAAGACAGATCTTTGGCAATACGATCCTCCTTTTTAAATTTCTACCCGGAACTGACAGACAACTCACGACAGTACCTCAATTTGAGAATACCATAGCACAAATCAGACTATCAAATAAATACATGTTGAAACTGACTTTTCATGGTAACACATACCATATCAATCCGAGAGAGTTCTGCACCATTTGTAATCAACAAAGATATGAGACGATTGGACATATCCTCTTTGAATGTCCGATCTATACCTCTATGAAACCTCCGAACGTCGAATACCTCTCCAACATGGAAAACTTTGTTAACGTTCTCAATGATATAACGTCAACAATAGGAAAAACTATCTATAACCATATGTACAACATCATGAAATTGAGATCTTTCATCCTAAATGAGTGAGTTATTGTAAATCACTGCCAAACATTATTATCGCAATTCGCAATCCTATAGATTATCTCTCTGTATAACAATGTATTTTTGTTTTTATTCTTGCTAATCCTCAGTTGGCTACACACTTGAATATCAATGTATTCATATCTATCTTTGTTTATTTTTTGATATTACTTCAAATCATGTACCTGAACCCTTGTTAAAAACTGTTGAGTTTGAAGAACAATAAAGAATCTATCTATCTATCTGATTATTCCATAGAAACTTCGGCGAATTTCTGATTCTGTTGTGCTTCCAGCTGACATCCACGATCTCTATAAAATGCTGCTCCAGCAAGACAGCATGGATAACCAACTTGGAATACACCAAATGGAGAGGAGAGCCAGAGGCCCGCAGTTAAGGCTGAGATTTGGGAAGAGGGCAGATGAGTTAGAACACTTCATGATGAAGTCTGTGAGTAGATGGAATAGCATTTCGTATCAGTGGATTTGTTATTAAATATCATTGTTATTTAGGCAGCCAACGAGAGGCCCCCATCTTTGCGTCTTAGATTTGGGAAACGGTCTGAAGATACACCAGTAAGTATTTTTCCTGATCTGACATTTTGGTGATTTCAACCAATAGCAATCTGAGAGAAGAGAGAGAATATACTTTATTATCATCATAAGAAATCAAGTTCTTGTTGACAAAGTTTGCTTAAGTTTAAGAAAATATATCAAGGTACTTAAGTCTATTGCATACTGGTCGATAATTAAAAAAAATAATGATAAAAATGTGATGTATAATATGTATATATATATATATGTATAATACCTACTAAAATAGTATATGTCAATTTCATACCAGTATGTGAAATAAATTTTTAAAAAAACGAACCGCAATACATATTAAATACACAAACCAACAACAAACAGAATTTGAATATATAAAACAGATAACAAGTAAATAGGAAATCACAAAAGTGTTAAAATGTGTCAGAGTAACATTCCTGTATATTATATAATAAGCTTTTTATAACAGTAAGTTTTTCACAGATTTTCTAAAAATGTTCAAATTGGCAGTGTTTTTGTCATAACTAGGTAGATGATTGTACATCTTGCAGCCGTTGTAAATAACAGAATCCTTAATCAGTGATGATTTAGGAAGTGGCAGACTTACGTTCATAGCTTGTCGAGTAACATAGTGTGAAGGAAGTTTGTTAAACGTGTTCAGATGTTTCCTTATCAAACAAACGGTTTCTAATATAAAAATTGCTATTATCGTGAGTATTTTATGTTCAATGAATAAAGGCTTACAGGAGTCACGAATTTTTGCTTTGCACATAAATCTTATCCCTCCTTTTTGAAGAACAAGAATACTGCTCATGCAGTTAGCATTACATGCACCCCAGAATGGGATGCCATACCTGAGATGAGACTCAATTAGGGAATAGTAATCGTTTACTAGAATCGTAGCCGCACCCAATCCCAACTCCTTTGAGACAATCTTGACAGCAAAACACCCAGAAGATATTTTTTTCCTCAAGGCCTGAATGTGTTCCTCGAATCTCAACCTAGTATCAATGAACGATCCTCGGAATTTTGTGTCGAGTTTATTTTCAATTATATTTGACCCAAGGGGTATGTCCTCCAGTGAGCATCGGAAGGTTAATAAGTTTGTTTTTGAAATATTGAGAACAAGTCGATTATATATAGAATCACATCAAACTTCAATACTGTTTATATCAATGTATATCATCTTTTTGAGTTCTCTACTGTTCTTGGCACGCCAAAATACTGTGGTGTCATCAGCGAATATTGTAAACTTCCCAGATACGTTGATATTCGACAAATCATTAATATACAACAAAAACAGAACTGGACCCAGCACTGATCCCTGTGGCACTCCCCATTTTATAGTAGATCAGGATGATCTTGACAAGGTTTCTACTATCTGGCTGCGATTTGATGAGTACGATTTTACCCAATTCATTGTTATACCTCTGAAACCATAACACCAAAGCTTCTGCAGCAGTATTTCATGATTTACGCAGTCGAAAGCTTTGGACAAATCACAAAACACTCTGCTGCCGCTACATCACCATTGTTGAGCTCAGTATAAACTTCATAGAGGAAGGAAAAGATAGCATCCGTTGTATTTTTACCGGATTGAAATCCAATTTGTTGTTTACTGATAATACCATTCTTCATCAAAAATTCTATTACCCTTCTCCGTGTCTCCCCCCTTATGGAGAGGAATTACTAGTGATGTTTTTAAACAGTCAGCTACTGAACAGTAATATTCGTTTAGAGTGTTAGGATTTAGGGAAATTTGTTGTTTTCATGAAGTTTTTCCTCTGAGCTCATTAATAATGTGTGTTCACTGTTCAATCATCATGTGGGCTCGGCAGTCGAAACAGATTGAACTTAACCCATATACAGGGTGTTCCGTGTCTCGATCCCCATAGCTCAACAATTTCAAGTCGAAAGTGCCCTATACACTTTTGTCCGCAGCATACTGTGAATGATCCTCAGAGTCAAATATCCTGTGCCAAGAAACTCGAATATTTTGAAGTACTTTTAGTATCACTACTGATTATTGAACTTGTAACTCTGATTTTTTGGTATTCTTACTAAGACAATAGTATAGTCTATTTCGACAAGCTGTCATTTCGTTAACGATGAGAATACGAAGGCAAAATCGAAGGGACTCATCGAGGAAGACCTCGATGAGAACTTCAAAAAGAGGTGTGCGAATTTTTGTGGGTTGTCCACCTATCAGCCACAGGTTTAACGCTACGGGGGTGAAAAAAGCTGAAAATTAGTTCCTCCTCAAATCAAAAACCGACAATTTTGACTTTAAATCCTCCAAATTAGGGGGGAAAGTTCCTATTGGCCCATCCTGTATGTGAAGGTTGTGAGGACAATGGAAATGTGATTAATCTGCCTAGGAGGATCCAGGAAAGCTCAGGTTGGACCAGAAGTGGTTCCAGTTGTAGTAAAAGACATTAGTTCGAAAACAATAATAAGCATAAAAAACATGGATGCCAAAAATCCCAAGAATGGTGGATTTCCTTGCTATAGGAATGATACATATTAGGCTGAAGAATTCATCGAATTACTTTCATCAACATTTAAAGACTAGGTATAGGTATACTAAACCAGAAAAGAAGTAGAGCTACAATTATTATAGTTGTACTTCTCACATGAAATAACGACAATGTTTGAGTACGATCATCCTTATTGAATCATTTCAATGAAATTCATATACTCATTCCAGCATTATGAGTACGCTGTTATTATTCTCATTTTGCCATTATTTTGTGTTTCGATCAGAGGTTGAGTTTCAAATTGTCAAATTTGCTTCGATATTTGAATAATTCTCGATTAAGTATAGTAGCCTACTCGCGCTCAATAACTCAGATGGTTGAATATGATTACAGATATACAATTTTCATCTTCGTAATAGCCATCATTATGCGTTCATTGAATATATCAATTATCACACGCGTATGCCGGTTTTTCACTGATTTCTTTTTGTTTTCTCAGCTTGCTGCATATCTGAATGGACTTTCACCTGAAGGCGACAACTAAATTTCTGATGCCCAGTTCTAGAGCCCAACAAATGATGGCGACTACAGGAGTTCCATAATATAGTTGTGAACTATGGTTATCTTTGTTCCAATATTAATTTTTGATGTTAATCAGAAATAAATTAACTTCACGATATATATATTAAAGAACGTATAATATTTATGTGTATAAAATGTATAAATATGCGATTTATTGAAAGATGAAATCGAAATTCTCAATCGTATATATGTGCAATTCAAGTAGTCAATTTGTGAAGGGTTTATAAAATGTTTCAAATAAATATAGTTCATTTTCCCGCAAGCCTTTCATTTTGTATTTTGTGCTCCATTTGGTCGATCGGAAAAAATAATATAGCACACATGTTATTATAAACTGCAAATTTTCACTCATAATGTAGGTACTGAATTGAAAGACTTATTGAGGACAGTCTGAGTACATTTTCATTTCAAAGAAATGGAACATTGATTTTGTTTCCGAATATATTCTGAATTTGTTCATTTTTGTTCACGATTTTGATTTTGTTTCATTTTGTTATTGAATGGAATTTAGTTTTTATATTCTACTTCTAATTAAAATGAGTCCACTCTGTGAAACCGTCTTCGGGTCGAGATGTCATTTGCATGTAGAAAATGACTGAATAATAATAGGTCGAATCTTATTCACTTTGTATAAAACAAAATATTACATAATTCAAATTAGGAATGTGTTGTATACGTGCAGTTCGAAGCATACATCAGCAGAATATTCATGAATTAATCAGTAATATTCGTTCATCTCAATTATTATTCAACCAATTAGGCTCAATCGTCGAATATATATATATTAGGTATATTATGCAATACGCATCGATCGATAGGTAATAATCAACAGATTGAAATAACGGAATATATATTACAAAACAATTTACAATAAATTAATAACGTTTATACTATAAGAAATATAGTTTATCTCATTTCAGTTCAAAAAACGTAATATCAACTACCTAACAATAGTTATTTTTGTATCTAGAGCGCGAAATGCTACTTTGGTGATCGAGATCAGATTTTTTTGACGAGGCGTAGCCGAGTTAAAAAAATAGTCGAGATGACCAAAGTATTCCGCGCTCGAGTTGCAAACAAAATTTTTCCTACAAACGCCAAAAAAGATAGTTCAAAGTAAAAATATGCTTAGCTTGATATAAAAAATAGTGTTGAACTGGCTTCAAAGGCCTCCCCCTATCCTCCCTAGATACGCACGATGTTCCACGAACATAATAGGAATTTTCTTTCGTGCGCTCCAAGAGATAAAACAAAATTATTGTTGAACATTCAGAAATAAATGATTTCGTGGATGTTTGCTCGATTGAGGACCATAAAGTTGAAATATAAATATCTCATATATTTTACCTTAACAATGCGCGAAGTAGGTACTTCGCGTATTGTTTTGTGCGAGTTATCATGGTAACGTAGGTGTCGCAGATATTCATTGTATTTTAAAATAATTGACCATGTATTAGGAACAGATGAAGAATGTAAAAATGTTATTGCCATAGAAAAATAATAACAAAAAAGCAGATACAATTTCAATATTTTCATTTAATTTTGTAAAAGATATATAAAGACAAAAAGACTGATACATAGTGGTAACAGGAGTGGATTATTTTGGCCCTATCGAAATTACTGTCAAACGATCACACGAGAAAAGATATGGTGTTATATTTTCTTGTATGACTACCAGAGCTATACACCTAGAAATAGCTCATGATTTATCAACAAATGGATTTTTACATGTATATAGACAGTTTGGATGTAGACGAGGGTTTCCGAAAGAAATATATTCAGATAATGGAACAAATTTCCGAGGAGCTGAAAAGGAACTCAAGACCAAATTGGATAATTTCGATCAACTTGAAATCACCAGAACAATGACCATGAAAGATACCAAATGGGTCTTCTGTTCACCACTAAGTCCACATATGGGTGGATCTTGGGAGAGACTGATTCAGATGGTGAAGAAGAACTTATATGAAGTACTGAAAGAAAAATTTCCTCAAGAGTATGTACTCAGAACGTTTTTCGCCGAAATTGAAATGATAATCAACAGCCGACCACTGACACATGTACCACTGGACTCCGAAGATGCTGAGGCTCTCACACCTAACCATTTCTTGATTGGCAATAACTCGCTAGAATATTCAGATGTGAAAATTGATGGTGATGAAGTTTGTCTGATGAATAAATGGAGAGCTGCTCAGAAGATGGCAAATATATTTTGGCAGAGATGGTTGAAAGAATACATTCCATCTCTAGTCAAACGAAGCAAATGGCTGAAAGAACAACGTCAATTGAAAGTAGGCGATGTCGTCATCATCGCCGACAGTGACAGTCCCAGAAACACATGGGTGAAAGGGAAAATTGAGGCAGTCTATCCAGGGAAAGACAATATAGTCCGTGTTGTTGATGTCAAGACATAAAGAGGAACGTTCCGAAGACCTTGCACAAAACTTTGCCTGATGGACATCAAGAAGGAAGAATGATAAGAAAAATAAAATGATTATTGCTTTAAATGTATATTATGTAACGTTAGAAAGTTACGGAGGGGAGAATGTCGCAGATATTCATTGTATTTTAAAATAATTGACCATGTATTAGGAACAGATGAAGAATGTAAAAATGTTATTGCCATAGAAAAATAATAACAAAAAAGCAGATACAATTTCAATATTTTCATTTAATTTTGTAAAAGATATATAAAGACAAAAAGACTGATACAGTAGGAAACTGAAAAAAAAAGTGTCACTTCGCAATTTGTTATCAATGCGCGAACCTTGTCATTTTTTGACGTTTGTAGAAAAAATAAGTTTTAATGACCATATCACCATCTATCACAGTTATCAGATACTTATTATAGAGAAGTTCAGCTAATTATTTCTTGTATACTCTGTCTTCATTATTCTGATGTGATTATGTGAGATTATGGAAAAAGGTATATTATGTCGGCGACAGAAGAGATAAGAAGAGACGAGAAGAACATTTTAACCTCAATATAAATAGAGGTTAGCTTGGTCTTCTCGATTAATCTTTTTTGTTTTCTTCCTAGCCGAGCTTCTCTATTAGAATTGCTATCCATCATGTATCGAATTAGAACTGAACTGGTCAATATTCAGGAATTGTCAAGCCTCTTACAAAAATATGATCTTGTTTGAGAAAAAATACATATTTTGTTGGTATGGTTTCCATCGAGGTTTCCATACAGTGAAATTCACGAACTCTCTGGCTCATACAGTGTGGTCCATCCATACTAGAATTCCTAAATGTACTTGACACTGCTGTTTTAACGTTTCCAGCTGTTCCATATCATTTGTTCATTTATTAATTACTTATAACCTACCACTCTTGTACAATTGTTCCCTACGGAATGAAAGTATGTTTCATTGGTTGAAATTTATCAGTTTTTTTTACCCCATTCTGAACTTTTGTGATAAAAAAATATTCGACTGTATGGTATTTACAGAGAAGTGCACAAACACCGGCCAGGATTGTAACTTTTGAATTATTCTAGAAAGGGTTTTCAAAATTGGTGGGTAGCAAGTATTCCTACCAAATTACTCATTAATTGATGAAACAATTCTTCCTCTATCACTTCCGGTTTTACCGGAAACGACCCCAACTTTTGATTTTTAAATGGGACAACCTGTATCGTATTCCATATTCGGTCAGGGATTATCATGACGAATTGAACGATACCAAGTTTGACAGGGTTATTTCAAACGATCACAAAGATATTTGCGTTCGAAGTTTCCATATGCTCAATGGGTGTGACTTCACAATATCAAAACATCTCTCTCTGTCACACTCATTGAGCATGTGGAAACTTAGAACGTGGAATATCTGCGTAATCGTTTGAAATAACCCTAACGATCAAACCTAGTATCGCTGAATTCGTTATGACAATCACTAACCGATTATGGAATACAATACAGGGTCTTATTCAAAACTCGAAAGTTGGGGTCGTTTCCAGTAAAAAAGGAAGTGATGGAACAAAAATTGTTTCTTCAATTAATGAGCGATTTGGTATACTAGCTGCCCACCAATTTTCAAAACCCTATATCGAATAATTCGAAAGTTACAGTGCAGGCCGTTCTTTGTGTACTTCTCTGTATATACACATATAAGAGACTTATTTCATAGGAATTGTATATGTATTTCGTCGGTATATATATGTACATATCAACTTGAGGTCCTTTAGCCTTATCATTCAATATTTCGAGGAGACATAATTTTCTAATCAATTTATCTAATAGGTACCCTTTTACCCACTCGAGGAGACGCTATGCACTCTCATACAATAATCAAAGACAGAGATATATGGATGTACTCTTCCAGGACTTGTGGAGGAAGGAAGATGCGAGGATCCTTTATCCAAGCGAAAAACATATTCTTGTCCTTGTCAGGCAAAACATATGATTTGCTTCAAAATAGTTTGTGGTTGTTTGATTGTCACTGCTTGTCTAGTGTCCGTACTCTGATATACAAAAAACGTCGAAAACAGCAGTGTCAAGTACATTTAGGAACTCTAGTCCATACTATGTTAAGAATGGAGCATAACTGAAATAAGTATTCAATACAGGGTCGCTCTAGAGCATGATAATGTCACTTTTTTTACCATTTCTACTCTTGAATTAACGAAAAGTAGATCACCGAGATCCCCCCGAACCGCTCGTACCTTGGCACATTCTACTTCTTTTGTGACACTCCAACTTGTCCTTCCTGCTGAAACTTCTATCACACTGTTCGCAAACAAACGGTTTGTCGCCGTTATGCAACCGTTGATGCCTCAACAAATTCGAAGTGTGCGCAAACTTTCTCCCACAAACCGGGCAAGAAAAGGGCTTTTCCCTAGTGTGCTTCCTCAGATGTTTATTGAAGTCGCCTTTGTGAGTGAACGTTTTCTTGCAATACTCGCAACTCAGTGTCCTCCTCGTCGATTTTTGACTAGAAGTTGAAGGTTGGGGCTCAGTCTTATCGGTTTCGTACTTTTGCTCAATACCATGTAGCAGCACAGGCAAACTGCCGTATTTGCTTTGGCAAGACTCGCATTTGCAGTTGTAGTCATTGGTACACGGTTCTTCCGCTGACGTCACGCTATGCTGACCTTGAAACGCCTCTTGACCCTGGAACACCGCTTGACCTTGAAATCCAGCTTGACCTTGAATGGAGTCGTGTCCTTGAAATGTATCTTGGTCTTGAATCGCGAAACTTGCGGCTTCCATGGGAAAATAGTATTCGGGCTTGGGTTCTAGGCCTTCTTCGTTTTCTGTTTGTTCTTGTTCAGTAGGAGAGAGGGGTTTGAAGTGCATTTTGTCGATGAGGAGTGAACGTATCAGATGGAGTTTCACGAAGTGCAGTTTATTGAAACAAGTTTCACAAGCCTCGATAGAATTTCTCATCAAAAGTAGCTGAAAAGAAATAGAGCTGTTGAAATATATCCTGATATATATCGTGTGTCCCAAATTCGATCTCGGTTACTGTGAGAGATAGAGAGTCCATTAAATTACGAAAGTTTCAGCAAATTCGATCGTGATTCATAATCCAGCGGATGTCCCTGGGACATCCCTAGTATGTACGTTGTCCCGACAAAGAGGACATCCCTGATGGGATGTCCTAGTATAAAATCAGGGACGTCCCTGGGAAGTCCCTAGGATGTACTGGTGTTGTTAGGGGGGATGGGATTGTAAACCACTCCAAAATAATATATTATATGATGCCATCGAATTCTTTAAATTCTGAGTTTAAATTTTGATTAACATCATGCAGCGATGTATACCAAATTCAATGATTTATTTTGGATGAACGGTTTCGAAAATTGTGAGGAAAGATCGCTTCAGGTTGCTCTATTTTGAGAGACGGCGCACCCTTATATATGGAAAGCATTTTTCTATAAATATTAATAGGAACTTTTCTCGGAACTTTTTCTATAAAAACACCTCAGGAAACACCTTCCCAAATTGTACCAATATTTAGGAAACACCCACTATATATTTATATGAATATTGGGATCCTGCAACCCCGTGACCCCCCTAACACATATGTTTCGAGCCTAATAACTATATAGGCATTTAGTTAGGGACAAAATATGTATAACCTATAGACACTTTTATTATAGCCACTTTGGTATACTTAATTTGTCTAATTAACTTTTCATAATTTTCCTTTTCGTTCACTGAAGATGAGCCTTAACTGGTGGGCTCGAAATTTGTACGAAGATGAATATATTATAAAGGAATGAGTATAATTTTGATGAGGTGAAATTGTGGAGATGCAACTTTGTGTATTACTCCGCAACTTATTTGTGTATTCCTCCGCGTATAATAAATAAATAATAAAGTAAATAAACAACAAATCTGTACTCACTTGCGGTTTCGTACTCTTGATTAATTTCACAGCTAATATCCTTTCGTACCCCACTAGCGGCAACAAACAAACTGAATCACTATCAAGACAGACATCGCATTCATATATTCTCTCGAAATCCATGATGATTCTTTCGATTCCAGTAATTTTAGAGAAATGAGCAGAAATGATTAAAGGAACTTCCCAAATCGTATTGCCGGGCTTAGTCACGCGCATGCCCGCAGGTTAAATACGCGCAAGTGACGTCACTGTATCGGGGAAATACAGTAGCAGACAGAAGGCTGTGAGGACGGAAGAGCGAGAGGGGAAGAAACGGGATCCACAGTCTCCCCACTTCGACTGTTTCGAGTTCAACAGCACGTGGGCGGCAATGCAGCGTTGCCGGTTTTCATATTTGGCAGTGGATGTTATACACTGGCATCCAAAAATGAACAAGGTTTGGGTTTCTATATGATTGTGACAATGAGGATTCTGGGACAAATGGAAATAAACGTACCTACTCAGCAGCCACTACCATATGTTACAAATCATTGTGGAAACTATATGTACTAAAATTAGTTTTATTTTCTCTCCAAGCGCACCAAATGATTTTGATTACAAAAGATGATTTGTCAATTATAGAGGAACCTGTCGTGGTGATAAGTAAGCGGTAAAGTATATATATATAGTCATATGTTGTTGTCCATATTTTAATTTGAGAACAACAAGGACTATTGTCATTCATATCACGATATGTATTCAGAACAAATCTAGATCAGAAAAAAATTGGAAAACTTTGATGCCATTTGAAAAAAAAGGCAGTCGTTGAATGACGTTTATCACAGACGCAGCAAATACATCAGTTACTCAACAGAGATTTCTCAGCGATGTGACCTGCGCGATATCACATTATATTCTATGTCGCATATAGACGTCGCTGCTATGTCAAAGGGATATGTTATTTTGTCCCACTCAAGTTTCATCCATGCGACGTCGATGTGATATACTTATGCGAGATGACATCGTGTAGTAAAACGAAAAAAAAAAAAAAAAATAAGTTCACTCAACATGGTATCCTTGGTACCTAGGAATTTCTATTAGAATATGAGATCAGTTACTCGTATTTGTATAAAAATGTATGTAGTGTTGTGTCGGAGCGATGTAAGCAAATCAAATAAGAATAGTTGGATAGCAATGTAACGATGAATATTTGCGAAATCAGCTTCACTTTCTTGAATATGACGTGACGTGACCGATCAAGAATCTAAATTTCGCATATGAGTTTGCTTTCTGTACATCACAGCGATGCAATAATATTCGTGATATCGCATTATTGTTGTCTCATAATGATATCTTAAAGACGTCATGTTGCAGATGTGTTTGCTTTTGTGCATCGCAGCGATGGAACATTCATAATATCGCAGTGTTGCCTCGCGACATCATATTCGTAATATCGATCGCAGTGTTGCCCTATCAAGGCATAACCGAGATGTCATGTCGCGGATGTGTTTGCTTATGAATATCGCAGCGATGGAACGATTGTGATATCGCACTGTTACCTGAACGCAACATCTGATAGAGATGTCATGTCACAGCAGATAGCAGATGTTGGCTGGAGAGCAGCAAGATTTGGAAAAATTATGATCAGAGCCCATCAAGGACTACCAGAGCCTACTTTACTTACATCAGTGTCTGAAGAATATAATTTCATTTGCTTTTTTGTTTTTCACAATCGGATATATAATTATTGCGACGCTATTATATATATCTGAAAGTTAAAAAAATCTTTTCTAAGTATACACACCCACAATGTTTCTTGAACATAATATATAAGACAATATATCTCTTTCTTGCGCTATACAATATGGGAGAATAATTGGAACAATCCATGTATAAGCATTTAACTCAATGTATAGGTGTTCACATTGACATTGAGTTCATTGTGTATAATTAAGTACATGTGGCAACGTTGCCAGCCGTCTTAAAATCGTGAAGTAGTTCCTGAAATGAATGAATGAAAGCAGAAAAAATAAATCACCTGCTTGGAGTGCTTAGATACGTACGTCAGTAAAGTAATTGCTTGAGAATAAACGTTCAACATTCAATTATTTATGACCTAATACCGATGAAAACATTGTACTTTAGAATAAATAATTAATAGGTATTTACTTATACTTATAGGCATCAATAAAATTAGTGTTGGTTGAAAGTGTTTGCATGGGGAAATATTAAAAAACTTGGGTATAGGTATACCAGGGTATACCTGCTAGGATATTAAAGAAATTTTCTCTTGAACTATATAAGTGATATTACGAAATGTACAAAGCTACCAATGCCTGGAAGGGACACTTAAAATAAAATAATATATAAACTCTTCAAATCTCCGAGTTATAACTCGGAACTTTCAAATTTCGACTTATAACTAGGAATTTAAAAGTTTCGAGTTATATAACTCGGAGTTTTGAAGAGTTTATATATCATTTTATTTTAGGGTCCCTTCCAGGGCTTCGTATGACAACATCTGATGCGTCTTTTTCAGTAAGACAGTAAGTTGTTCATTTTGGGAAGAATATTTGAATCAATATAATTCCATAATTCCACTTCTAAATTAGAGGGTACTTACATATGTCTTGAATAAAAACACGATACATAATTATATTATATTTTATACTTAATCTATTTTTTATTCACATTTTGGGGCTTACAATAACTATAAATAATACAGTCTTTAGTACTTAATAAATCGAATTTATCCTTTGAGAATCGAGGTTGAATCAAAACGTATCCATATAATGTTCAGCGCCATACCATTCTTTGTGCTCATTCAAATAACTAAAATAAATATTTTCATTAGCAATAATTGAGAAATGTGTACTGAATGAACTAAAGAAACATTTGCTCATAATCTACATCTCTATTTCATAGCAAAGTAGCAAATAAATACTCTGTCTGTAGGTTAATCAAGAAGGTAGATAATTCAATATTCATTCATCTATATTTTTTGGATTTTCTCTCTTTGTCTCTATATATAAAAATATTAGTATTATTTCAATTCCCTTGTAGTAAGTGCTTCAAATTTCAATATGAAAAACCTGAAAGGAAAATTCAATTGATAGTCAGTGACATCTTATTGTCTACATAGGTATTGAAAAAAACTAGCATTTCAGTTATTTTTGGAGGTTTCTGGAACAAGTCCGCTCCCAGTATCAATGTTAGAATTGGAAAAGTATTATTCGTGAATTGTATTTGGCTTTCTCTATTGACAGAAGCTGACGTTTTCATAAATAACTGAATTGAGAGGAAGAGAGGAAATTAACCTACAAACAGTATTAATAAAGGAGAGAAAAATGACAACCGTATATATCACGAAAGAAAGACTGAAAGAGATATGATCAATCTCTTTGCGTCAAGTTTTATTCGTCATGTTTCTTGCGTCAACAGTTTTCCGTCAACCTTTTCGCGTCATCTTTTCTGAAAACATTCTCGGTAGATTTTTTTTTGCTATGAACAAATCTACGTGCGCCATAAGCACTTTGAGATTTTTCTGTGATCAGAGAAATATATATCACGAAAAAGGCCGCCAGGAATATGATTGAACTTTTTGCTTAATGTTTTGTTGGTCAAGTTTTTCCGCATCTCTCTTGCGTACTATTTTATGCGTCAACTTTTTTGCGTGAAAAAGTTAGAGAAATATAATATGAATATCACAAAAAAGGCCGCAAGAAGTATGATTCAACTTCAAGTTTTATTCGTCAAGTTTATTCCGTCAAGTTTCCTGCGACTTTTTTGAAGAATTTCCCCATAATATAGTTTTGCTATGACTCAAGATAACATATCATGAAAATGACTAATAATTAAGAAAACTCACTCTATGAACAAATCTACGTGCGTTAGAAGCACTTTTAGCTTTTCCTTTGTGATACTTGACGCCGTCAATATGTCAGGCGATTTGACAAGAAGCGTGTCAAAAATTTTGAGAAATATTTCACAAAAATAGCCGCAAGAAATATGATTGAACTTACTGCGTCAAGTTTTATTCGTCAAATTTCTTGCGTTAACTTTTTTACGTCAGTTTTCTGCGTCAACCTTATTGTGTCAAGTTTTCTGCGGCATCCTTTTTGCGTCAACTTATGTGCGATAAAAGCACTTTTATAGCTTTTCCTTTGTAATACTTGACGCCGTCGATATATCAGACGACTTGACGAGAAGAATGTCAAAAATTTTGAGAAATATATCACAAACAAAGCCGCAAGAAATATGATTAAACTTACTGCGTCAAGTTTCTTGCGTTAACATTTACACGTCAAATTTTCTGCGTCAACTTTTTCGAAGAATTTCCCCGCAGATCTAGTTTTGCTATGAATTAGGATATCCGATCAAGAAAATGATGACCAGTTAATGAAGAAAACTCACTCAATAAACAAATCTACGTGTGTTAAAAGCACTTTGAGCTTTTCCTCTGTGATACTTGACGCCGTCAATAAATCGGGCAATTTGACCAAGAGACGCGTCAAGTGAGTAGCGCCGTATACCATACAGGGTGGAGGCGGTTGCTGATGGTATATGTGCTCGGGAAGTAGTCTCCAGGACATCGTTTTTGTTATGGGGCCCGTTATGTCCGAATTACTGCTGGCTACACTGGAATAATATACAGGGTACTTCAGGATTGTTACTCTTTGAAGTTATGAATGATATGATGATTCTACAATTTTATTAGATAATATTTAGCAGCAAAACAGTTTTTTCTGTGACGGGAAAAAAGTTTGGTATTTCATCTCTGTTGGCAGGTTATAGAATGTCACTTTTCATAAATGACTTTTTAAAGTTAGTATTTTTTTCCCGGCTATATATCACATATTCATACACTGTTGATGGCTTTTGTTGTTCTATAGTTTCGAAAAATGAGTCGATTATACCGTCTCCGAGAAAGAACTGTAAGTCCTTCTATCTTCCATTCGACTTCGCGGTTACGTATATTACGAAACAACCACTAAATTCGCAATTTTTTGAAATCGAATCACAGAATTAGACTGACAGAAGTGACATCAGATAGTTGATTACTTCAAAAGAATGATAAAGATGCCTACAACGCAGGTGTCCCTTCTGTTAAAAACTTAAAATTTCACGTCGATAATTTTCAGATTAAAAAATAATGTAATATCTTCTCAATATTGATTCGTCTTTTCTTCTGGCATAGAAAAAAAAAAGTGTATTATACACGGGAAAAATATTAAATTTTAGCTCACGGTTTTTTTACGCGTCGGGAGACAACACAACCTGGAGCTGGAATCTACTACTTTTTTCCCTTGTATAATAAATAACTATTGACAACTTTAAGAACTCAATTTTTCTATGAAAATTTCAGACAAAAACTGCGAATAGACAAGAATGTCAACAAAAAATGTGTAGTCTGAGGTTCCTGGCAAAAATTCATAACTCTTATTAATTATTCTTGAGCTTAGCCATTAGGGTTATACTTTTAGAATAAGAATTCAAGATTAATAAAGTCCAGGAAATGGGATGTTGCCAGAAATCTTTAACTTTTTTTGTAACAATGTTGCCGTAGGTATCTCAGACTCCGAGATCTTAAAAAATGTAGTTTTCTGAGACTGAAGTACTTAGTTATATTTGGCTATTGAATATTTTTCCATTAAATCGGACATTTTTCACTTTTTTCTAACAATTTTGTGGTATCTTAAAAAAAGTAGTTTTATAAAATTATTATTTTTGCTAATTAATATTTTTCGATGAAATAACCCGAATTTAGTTTTTCCAGATCCAGTAGAGTGGAATCCAAAATTACGAAATTAAAAACAATAATGATAACATTCAGCTATATTCGACAAAACATATTCTGGTCTTGAGGGGGTCACACTGTATGAAAGCCAAGTATAGCTTGGGATGTTAATGAAAAAAAAAACATAAAAAATTATGTAGATTTGTTCCACACTTCCTAGAAAATTAAACTTAAAACATACATCTCAATATTCCAAATGAATTTAGCACACAAAATAAAGTTGGTTTTCAATTTTGGACTGTTGATTTCTGTCAGAAATCTCAGCGATCTGTCATTTTTTTGTTGACAATGTTGCTGTACCTCGGAATATGGGTGAAATCTCCGAAAAAAAGTAGTGTTTTATTTCGGAATATGTTCTTTTGCTAATGAATATTGTACAATTTCGGGTTTCCAGTGGTGGAGTTGAAATTGAAAAAAGAAAGATAATAATAATATTAAGCTGTTTTTGATATGTGAAAGAAGCAAGGAAAGAAGATATCCAAGCTCTGGTCTTGATTCTTGTCACACTGTATAAACACCTAGATTTGAAAAGCGGGCATTTTCTTTTTTAGTATGAAAAACAACTTGTGATGAATGAACATAAAAAATATTAATGTGAATTCTTCCAGATTACCTGAGAAACTGAATGTACTTCTCAAAAGGCCAATTTTTCAATATTTTAAATCAAACTAGCTCACCAAATTGACAGACTCTGAATTTTGAAGTACAATTCAAATTTATTTTGTAAATACTACTCAAAAACTGACATCTTCTTAGATAGACTAACCATTTGAGTTCACATTTGAGTAGATAATAGTTTTTTCAAACACTCTGTATTAAAGATTCTTACTCATGTTCAGATACATAAGCAAAATAATAATGAAAATATTTGCAGTTCACTGAAGCATCCATCTTTTTTCTTTCACTCCAAGGCACAATAATTGAAATCATATAAAAACCCCAATAAATTATTAAAAAAGATGAAAATTACCTAGAAGCAGGTTTCACACTGTTATCAGTGCAATTTTCTTGGGGTGAAGAATTTCCATTTGGTTGTGAATCACTTCTATTTGATCTCAAAGTACGTCTTCTAGCATTAATTTTACCAGTGTCAATACCATTTTGACCAGAATAATTACCATTACTAGAATTATTATTCATATTGATGAAATCATCATCAGATTTCATTCTGAAATTAAAAAAATCAATTCATCCAAGAAAATGAGATGTTTTACTAAAACTCACTCATGTTTCATTTCTTCTATTATGAGAGAATCAAATATTGCTTGTTTTGTAGGAATCTGATTTTCTTCAGGTTTGTATAAAAGTAAATTGTTCACAGTGAAGTCAAAGTAGATTCTGAGACCATCCATAACTTCTCTACACACTGTCAAACTAAAATAAAACAATTATTGTTAGTATTTTTCACTTATCAACTACTCATCTTACTTTTTTTGAATATCTTCTGGTTTTGCTTTAACCTGATTTGGATTGGCAGGTGGCAATCTATATCTTCCTGTAGATTTTTCAGTTAAACCACAAATTTGGTTAGTAGCATAATGTCGATAGTATGATTCTAATATTGTCACTATATTTGGATCTGCTGGTAATTTCATCAGCTAGAAAGTTCAGTGAAATGAATTCAAAAAAACATTAATATATCATTGACACCTACCTTATTCTTTTCTTTGATAAAGTGATAATCATTCTCAAGTATCTCTCTTAATTCTGGTGTGAGCTCAACATGTATAATTTCATCTTCTGTAGAAGAGTCTTCTTCAGAGCTACTGATCACACCCTGTCCATCATCTGTATCCATTCTTCCTGGACTTCCAGAATTACCATCTTCTGAGATGAACGATTGGTCACCACTTTTCCTGCCCTTCTTCCTTTCTCTTCTATACAAATATGCACCCCTAAAAGTGAAATTCAATTAGATATTTACTCAGTTGAGAGACAGGTACTAGAAAATATACAGTTGTAATTGGGATTTCTCTGCAAGATCTTTTTGTAACTGTCTGTTTTCAGCTGTATCTTTCAGTACAAACTCCTCAGCAACACATCTATCCCAAGAGGAGTTCCACCCCTGAAAAAAATCAAATATTCAAGAAGTATACCTTATGAAATTTCAAGAGATTACTCACTTGAAAATGTATAAGATACTCTATTGCCTTTCTTCCTCTGTGGTCCTTATTGATAACAATATCCAGAACCTGATGAAAGTTTAAAAACATGAACAATATTGATTAGAAGTTGTTAGCTCTCTGCAGTTTTGTCGACAAAGCAATGTTATGAGTTTTGAGGTTAGGACGGCCTAAGATGGACGGCTTCACTTACCTTTGAATCGTACAGAACTTTTGCTTTCGTTGGATCTGGTTCGTAACATAAAACTCTTTCTCCTTCGTAAAATTTCACTTTGATTCCTCTCGTTGAAACCATCACAGGGATTTTGAACTTTTAAATACAAACAAAAATGAAAACATCAAAACAATTCCGGAATCCGGAATCGGAATTCGGGACAGTGTTGCCATATGCACTATGCACAAAGATTGAAGTACTAGATTTTCCATTAAACTTGGTCAGAGATCTTGGTCCTGGACTTCTGGTATGTGTTTTTATCTGAATATTTTTTCCGACGCCATTCATTTCTGAGATAACGGATGATTTATTGATTATTGAAATTATCAATTCAGCATCTTGTCACTTCTTGTCGAGGATTTTCAACACGGAAAAGTGCTCACTGCGCAGCTCAGCTGAGTACTGGTTACTGGCTACCTCAGCTGGCAACACTGATCCGGATTCCGGAGCTCAGGGTCCGGAACTTAGATCATAGAAAATTGATTGTCAGTGTAGCCAACAGAGTCAAATTCGGCAACTACAGAAAATGGAAGTGCCCAATCTCCAAAAAAGCACTGAATCTTTAACTCCGTGTATGATCGAAGATCTTTAACGATTATCAGTGCAGGGGCGGGTCCAGAGGTGGGGCATAATAGGGGCCATGCTCCTACTCAGGTACCAATAAAAATTATTCCCTTCAAACATCTCCTGAATCCGCCCCTAATTCACTTCCCACATTTTTATCGATTTGATGAATGCAATAATTAGATTTAAATATAATTTAATTACCTACTTCTAACTCTAAGAACTTATAGTCGATGTGGAATTATTGTATACCTAGTGTTTATATTCCTCAATTTCAAATATGGATGATGAGTTATGTGAGTATATATAGGTCCTTTTTGTTACTTGATTCTGATTTATATGTATAGGTATATGTATATTGTATACAGAATATATACAGGGGGGTCCCTCAACCATATTATTATGAATCTTCGCCCATCATCAAGACCTTTTAGTATTATTCATCTATCTACAAATTTTCAACACTTTCTTTCTTACTAACGTAAAGCCGAATCCACAATAAGAGCTTTCTGCGCAAATTTATTCATCAGACTGCAGAAAGCATGCAAGAAGCAACCGTTAAATGTTCAAAATAAAATATGCAGAACTTGGAACATTTTCAAACTGGATGATTTGAACGCAATTTGAAGAACAGAGATTCAATCTTGAAAACGGTGGAACGTATTTTGTGAAAAAGTCGAATTATACGTAGAAATGCCCTAACTATAAATAGATCCTATATTCCTTCCGTTTTCCTTCGCATCTCTTAATTTACAGTTGCAACGGTAGATTTGGGCATGTTTTAAAGAAAGGTTATTTATTCTGCCTAATTTAAAGTTGCAATTGTAAATTAGAGCCTGTTTCGTAAATGCAATAGTTTCAAGTATTTATAATGGGCGCGTTGTATACACCTCAGTAGAACTTTTAACTCAAACCATGTTTATAATGATCCTTTTATACATAAATAATGATTGACGACATAATTCGATCGAAAAATTAACTGGAATGTTTTATTTTTGGACATTAACAATAGTACTTCCTGAAAACGGACCCTCTTATGACGTAAAAACCTCATCTACCAAACGCCCGACGGAAATTGAGGCAACTGATATATTAATTCATTCAACTGTGATCTCGCGCTAATTCACTCTGTCAGAAATCATGTATCATTCATCTCTGTCTGGAATAGCCTTGTTTCAGTATTAGGGTTTTGACGTCACATCATCGCCTCGTTTTCAGAGGTCCGAAAAATCGGGGATTTCAAACGTAGGGAGCTCACAGCAAGAAATGGTTTTTTTGTGATATAAGCCCCGAGATAAGCCCATTGTTTCTACGAATTATTAAAAAACCCCGTATCTTTAAATCGAAGGCCTTGCGTGGCCTTGTGGACCCGTGTTAATAGGTACTTTTTTTCGTATTTTAGTGCCCTCTATTGTGTGACACTATGCAATGTATTTTTTTCTATGTCACCCTGTATAATAGAGAAAATGTGTATTTTGACAAATAATTAGCTGAGATTATTCATTGTTTTATCGAATTATTTGAATTCTGAGTAGGCATTAGGCAGGTACCTACATACCTATATTAATTATTTCAGATTTTTCGGGATTTTCTCTCCTCGTTTCTATAAAATAAAAATAGGAATATCATTTCAATAAACGCGTAGTAAGGACAAATCAGATGATTTGCCCCAAAATTTTACTGCATTTAAAGAATTTCCCTATTTAGAGAGCCTAAAAGAAAAATTCACTAGCTTCTCAGTGACAATTATTTGTATTGTAAAAGGTTTGGAGGAGAGAAATAAAGGTATGTAGAAAAAATATAAAATTTTCACTTATATCAACTTTTTTTATAGTACCCATTGTTGCTATTGGTGGATATAAATACAAAAACGGCTCAATATACGTCGGATCATGGAATACCGATGGCAAAAGACAAGGAGAAGGACACATGCTATTTCCTAATGGTACAAGATACGATGGAAATTTTGAAAATGGTCATTTTCATGGTAACGGGATTCTGTCGTTCGCTGATGGCGCCAAGTATGTAACCCTACAATAGTTTTCTTATACAGGGTGTCCCGAAATTACATGGAAAGATTTCAACCACGTATTCTAGGAACAGAAATATCAAAAACAGTTCATATGAACATGAGCTCAGAAATGGCCCTTCTGGGGAGTTATAGTCATCTGAAAAAAGGCCCGAAATGATGTTTTTTTTTTGTAAATATCTCCAAAGCCCACTGTGTTGAGATAACGAACTTTTGTATACGTATATTACTTTTCATGCCCGATTTGCGATTGAAAATCAGGGTCGTGAAGAATAGGGCATTTCTTCCTCCAAATTTATTTATTTATTTATTTATTTATTTATTTATTTATTAACGGACAAGCCAATTATACAATTCACAAAAAGAAATTATAAAAATACAGAGCACGTACACATTATCATATCTATGAAGAAGACTGACACAAAAAAAAATGTAGAAGGCTAAAACGAATAGGAAGATGAAGATTATGAAAAAAGTGATTAACAGTTTTTTATCGCTCTCCTGAGAGACAATAAAGATGAGTTGAAAAGTTCAATGTGGTGATTGTTTGTGTTTGCTGTTTTCATAATTCTATTCATTGATTCATTTTGGCCATAATTTGTCCTACAGAATGGTATCTTGAAAATGTTACTATTTCTGTTTCTTCTTGTATTTGCGGAAAGCATAATCAGAGCAACAATTTCAGGAGAATCAATGTAACCATTGATAATTTTATGGAGGAATAATAGATCAATTTCCATTCTAACGTATTCATGTTCAAAATATCTAATATTTGTGGATAGGTATTTTCATCCCTATTGAATCCCATGTGATATGCACAACTTCTTAAAAATTTATTTTGACAACCCTCTAGAAGATCAGAATCAACTTTGTAAAATGGTGACCAGATCAAAGAATTATATTCAAGAATAGACCTCACCTGTGCACAATAAATAATTTTAACTGCATTGACAGATAGTTCTTTAGCAGAACGGAGGGAGAAGCCTAGCATTTTACGAGCACGAGATGATGTTTCTATTATGTGATGTTTCTATGCAATTTCCGGCAGACCAGGAATTTTAAAAATGTCATTATTTTTACTTCAAAATGATACAATTGTTATATGTTATATATCCTAAATTAAATGTCACATGTTTAAAGACTACAATATTGTACCGTTCGACTGTGAAATGACTATAGGGACTATATATATGATTGTATAGTTTTTCTTTATAAAATAAAAAGGGTACCTATTGTGAAAACGGATCTGAAAACGTTCATCTCTTATCCTCATTAGAAAACATTTAGTAGTTTCCAATTGACAGTTATATATTTTTTGAATATACATTTGTTCAACTATAGATATTATACATTGTTCATACATCAAATCATTTAGATTTCTGCTTCTTTTAGGTATGAAGGTGAATTTTTTCAAGGATGGTTCCACGGCTATGGAGTTTTTTGGAGAAGCGATGGTACCCGTCATGAAGGTGAATTCAGGGGAGGCAAAATTTGGGGCTTAGGTGAGTGAAGAAACATTCAATAATTATTTGAAAAAAAAACTGGCACCATAATTATGGATTCATCCGATGCTGATCAATGATCGCATATATTTGACTTTGTTTCCTTGAATGTTTGAGTGATTTTTCTAGGATTGACAACGTTTTCTGATGGCACCCATGGGTTTCCAAGAAACGAAGGTTTTTTTCATGACTGCCAAATGAAGACCAAAACTAAATGCCCTGCGGTCATCCAAAAGGCTCAGAGAATCGCATTCAGTGCGAAGAACCAATATATCAAAGATTCTGATATTATACGATGAACTAAATAAATTCAAATTTTGAATTATTGGTATACGAGGAAATGATTTTGTTTGTGTTTTATTCACTCCCATTATAAAATAAGGGTCAATGTGTGAGGACGTTGATAGTCTCTTTTTTCATAGCTTAAGGATATTTGAATTTGAGTGCGATTACAAAAAACTGACTTGAAGTTCAAGGTAAAGAAAATTTTCTGGTAACAATTGAATTTTAATCACACTGTAGATATAAGGTATGATGATATCTGTGATGCCTCTCTAAAGAGAGCTCCAGTATTGATGAAAATTCTATTATTAAACTTTTGATTAAGAGAGTTGATCGAGTATAATTTATTCATATATTATTATCTTATCTGATATTTTCATAAAATCGATAATTTTGTATCCAATGAGGGTACGCATGAACAACAAGTTTACGTTATGCCAATTCAGTTAGTCATAATAATATATACCTTGTTAGTTAGAATACTTCTTCCGATGAAACATCTTATTCAATTGCGAGGAGATGAAAATTTGGAATTTGCATGATTCAGTGATCATTTTCGGTTTGATGATATAATACATTTTTACAACACTCTCTACCAAAACTCGTTCGTGGCAGCATTCCTAAGAACTTATAAACTACAAAAGTTCAAGAAAAATTCCAACACCTACCTTACCACGAACATTATAGGAATTTCCTTTCGTACGCTCCAAGAGCTGAAAAAACTACACAGAGAGGTGTATTTCAAAATCATTTTTCAATAGGTAGGTAGTAACTCATAATTATCATTTTCTTAGGGAGTTCAAGTTCAAAAAGAATTCCAACACTTACCTTACCACGAACATTATAGGAATTTCCTTTTGTACGCTCCAAGAGCTGAAAAAACTTCACAGAGAGGTGTATTTCAAAATCATTTTTCAATAGGTAGGTAGTACCTCATTATCATTGTCTTAGGGAGCTGACATTGATACATATACATCATAAAAATAATTGAGTGTCCTATTATATAAGTTATTTATTTACGACGAAATTGTATTCTGAGCAACTTCTTTATGTTCATTCATAGGCCACTGTAATTATAGCAATAATGTTCTACAATTGTCATAATTTGCATTTCTATCGACAATTCAAACTATTCGTGACCTACAATTCCGCAAATTCTTCAGACTTATTTGAATATCGCCAACGAAGTTATCGAAATGGTACCAACATTCGCAAACCTGTCAAGAAAAACCAATGCCCCAGTATCTTCATACCATGACAGACCACGTCTGAGTAGAGTGTCTAGAAGATCTGACGTTTAAATGCTCATCAATGGAAAGGTACGAAACATTATATTCAATGCTTTATATAATATATACCTAACTAAGAAGAATATTGGTTCATTAAGTGAGATCTACTGGTATCGGTTTCAACAGTCTTGATTCCAAATATCGAATGTTTTTTTCAGTTGTTTGAGGAGTCTTGACAAGCGTGTCGTCCCACTCTGATCTTAACCTTTTGCCTACTCTATCTCACCGAGCCGTAGCGTTACCCACGTGATATAGTCTCGATGGTAACGGCAGTAGCGTTACCCACGTGAACATCTCGATGGTAACGACCGTAGCGTTAGCCACGTATAGTCTTGATGGTAACGGCCGTAGTCTATCCCCTCTACCTCCATGCTGACGTCACACTAGTAGGTTGGGATTTCACATCAAACTAGGATAATGCATCAATTAAATAGTGAGAAAATTATTGAGCTACCTACAATGAGTCCGAAATAAATTAGAAATGAATAGCGCGAAAAAATTCGTTTAGTATTAGGTATACCTACTTAATTTTCCCGTATTAAAACGATTTCGCGGTAATTCCCTATAGGTGAAGGGCAATGCACCTTTTATTACTCATGTTCCAGTTATGGGTCTTTTGATGTTTTGCAAACTATATTGAATATTGTGTTGAATAATTAGGTATTACAAATGAAATGTCAAATAATAAGAAAAGAAGAATCATCAGACTTTTCCGATGAATATGAAGCTTTGAGCCCATTTTTTAGTTTGTGATATAGTGATATATATATTTTGTAACAAGTACATGTTATTTTGTAATATCTGGCTATTTGTTCTCTTTTATTATGTTGAATGTTTCCAGAATTGCTTTCGTTTAGTATTGTGTGTTCATGAGAACAACATATTTTTTGTGCAATACCTGCTCCTACTATAGGGTAGGTATAAAATTTCTAACGTCATCAAAGTGTGTCCAGATTATCTTTAGACATGAACGTTGCTAAAATCCTCTGAGATACAGTAAAAGTGTATCATATCGATTTGTAGGCAATGAAATTTACTACAAAAAAGTCAGTGACAACATTTATCCACATTAGCATGGGGGCCGTCTATACTTTTTGAACTATAGTCACTAATAATCATCTGAATCATCATTTTACTTGAATTGAAATATCGGTTGGTTATTGGCTCTTGGGAATTAGGAAAAAAGTTACAGTAAATCTAGATACTATGAGAAGCCTTTGCATGGTTGAATCATTTCTGTGAATTGGATATTGAAAATCTAGCAGCTGTTTAAAAAACAACAATTCTGAATGCAGTCAATTCATTTTAATAGGCTATATTTCTCGAACTATTGATCGTAAATCAGTGAATATTGATTCATCTTTTGACAAAGTCTGGTCTGTACATATTTGGTCTCTTGACATTTTCTGATAACTGTTACCGTTTTCCCGTGGTACATCAATGAATTGGGAGAAACAATTTCCAGCGCCTGGATTTTGTCCCTACTAGTGAGACGCCACGAAAGCGATGCTCTGGCCCGGTGAGATAGAGTAGGCCCTGTCTAAACCCCATCTGAATGTCAGATGTTCTAGGCACTGTAGTCCCACTCAACCATCGGAAAATCCATATTCTCTCTGACGCAAAGACCACCGCGCAAGCGTCCCGACGCTTCCTATCCACCGAGACGCCAGTGCACAGCTGGCCGTCATGAATCCTGCTACTTCCGCTGTCCTGCTTCTGCCGCTCCTGCTGGCAGCAGGAACCTTCCAGTTCCAGTTCAAACACCACGACAACGAGGAGATCCTGCAAGTGCTGCAGGAGGTGAACGTCAGGTGTCCGAACGTTAGCAGGATTTACACGCTGAGCGAGAACTCGGTTCTGGGGGTGCCACTCTACGTCATCGAGTTCTCTACTAGACCTGGACACCATGAGATTCGTGAGTACTCTCCCAGCGAGCACAAAGACATCTCAGAAACAGTGGGTACCTTGGGGGGGATATAATTTTTTTTCAAAACATATTTTTATTCAAGATTATTGGTAACTACAATAATTAAATCTAAGCGCCTTGATGGTTCGAGAGCAATTTCTTCAATAATTTCTTCAACAGATACGACTACCTCTCCATGAATTATTGATAGCATGTTCCTCAAATAGGTTTTGATGCGTTTCAAGGTAGAGAAGGTTCTTTTTTCATACACACGTTTTGCACGTTTTAAAATTCTTTTGGTTCGATCGGAAGTCATTATTCTGTGAAATAATATAGTTTAATTACAAAGAAGATGAGTTTCAATTACCTTTTTCACTTGTTACGAAACAATGACTTTTTTAATCAATATAAGTACTAACACAGTTATTGATGAAAAGCGACACACACAGCGATCTTCATCCTTCAAACACCTTGATGTTACTGAGCCGTTTGCGCGGAAAATGGATCAAAACCTATGTGCAGTAATTACCCTGCAATGTCCAAGCAAATGATAATCACCGGCCAACACCGAAGAACAATATTTGAAAGGTTGATAGATACCGCTATTTAAAATTCAAAATAAAAATAGAAAAGAGGTATTTACCGCTATGAAACTCTAGTTATATAGACAGATTTCGAGTCATACATTCATGTGGAGTTAATATCTCAATTTGCTTGGAAATGTCAGTTACCGCTTCTGCGCTTAGCACGGCAGTGTTGATATGAGCCTCCGAATGCACAACTTTTTCCCCATTCAACCGACTTCGTATCTCCTACCGTTTTCGATAACCCCATGGTGTGCAACCTTATCTTGGACAGACTGTATAAATCCTTCATTTTAGTCATAGACTAATTTACATATTTTTCTAGTGAAACCCGAATTCAAATACATCGCTAACATGCACGGCAACGAAGTTTTGGGCAGAGAACTGATGCTCAAACTAGCCGATCATCTGTGCGAAGGCTATTTGAATGCTGATCCCAAGATCAAGGCTCTGTTGGAGCTGACTAGAATCCATCTCATGCCCAGCATGAATCCAGATGGATGGCAGCTTGCTACAGATACGGTGAGATAAAATCATTGATTTTTAGATAAAATCACAGTGTTGTTTTTGGAAGGTTCTGAAAAATAATTGCCATTTCATTCATTATAATAATAATAATAATAATAATAATAATAAATCGTCTTTATTCATAATTTGCAGAAAACATTTGCACAAATAAAAATCAAAAGACAAAGATAATTTGCTATACCTTATGTACCTATCTGCGATGGTGAATAGGCGGAGTATCAGCAGAAAGCTGTTTTTCAACTCAACCCCATATGAGATAATAGATAAAAAAATAGGTATACCTATCATCAGAGGGAATTCCAATTTTTATTTTGGAGATCACAAAGTATTAGTGAACTGATTGGTCGATTCAATATAGTTTAGAAAATATTTTGTGAAAATATAGAGATAGCGAACACTTTTTCCTACCACTAGCTATAGAACCTATAATTATGTAGGTTCTCCTTTTCCAGGCGTGATCAGTGTTTTTCTATGAAGGTAGCTCTAGTCATTTTATGTACTTCTATTTCATAAAGACATAGCCACCTCACAGGTATAGCACATTGACGTCTTGAAGACCTCAAAAAGACGTGAAAATGTCATAGACGTCGAAATGACGTCTCAGAACGGCAGATTTAGATGTTATAGGAACATCATTTTGAATATATAACATATATATAGTATTAACCTCTGATGAGATTTGAGATGGTCCCTCCGGATGTAATCCTGTTAGATCCAGGCGTTATCATTAGTTCGCATCTCTATGTGGGTATAACATTAGCTATTCATATATTTGTACCTAAAATTAGGTAGCGAGTTTGGGCTTGCTAGGAATCAGGCTTCACATAATATATAATGAATTCGAGGCAGGCATAGACGAGGCGAAGATCTATGAACGAAATATTTCAATGATATTACATATTTCGTTGCTCTATTCATCAAGTGATCCGTTCGAAACGAGTTCATTGCTACATCGTAATGAGAGAACTTGTTTCAAAGATATATATATATTCTTATCAAAATGATCATTATTTCATCAAATCAACAAAATGGTTATAGTGGAATCGACATCGACATTATTTTGGATCGACACAATTCGTTTTTGAGATACCCATATATTTGGTTGATGGAATGGGGGAGACCACTGATTTTTCAAAATGACATTATTGTGAACTCTATACTGAAAAACTACCAGCGAATTAATTTAAAATTTTGTCATTCATCCTAAGACGATGGAAAAAATAAATTAGAATATGTCCATTTCAAAACACACAATTCCTGCGCCATTTGAAATTTTGTCAATTCATTGGTGTGACTGGTGCGACGTCTTATTCCCAACACGCCTATTGTCCTTGAACTGACCAATCACACTGCAACACTGCAGAATGACCAGGTATCAGAGAGAGATAGCTACAGCTCGGGACTAATACGTCACGACTCCACCATCATATTTGGCTGTTTGAAATATCGAATGAAATATGCTGATTTCAAAACGATATAGATTCGATTCCCTTCAACTTTAACTCATAATATTGATTGTACATCAAACGTAAATCATGATTCGTCGATTGAAAGAGGTTTGCACGGATTTCTTCTCTCAGTGGTCTTCCCCATTGATATTATAGTGTTGAATCAATTGAACTACATTCTTGATTTGAACAAGCTGCTCCCATGAAATGATCATGTATCTGTTTGATTCAACAAAAAATTGCTCAGTCCAACGAAAATGATTCAAACATAAATAATTTGTTGATGCAACGAATCCTTTTTTTCGTGCAGTGTGTGCAATTTTTCAGATATAGGGCACACAACAAGTGTTCCTTTCATCATTCCAGATTTTTGGGATGTTCTCTCCTCGTTTCTATAAAATAAAAAATGAAAATATGAATATTATTTCAATATACGTGTAGTAAGGACAAATCAGATGATTTACCCCAAAATGTCACTGCGTTGGAAGAGTTTTCCTATCAGAGAGCCTAGAAGGAAAATTCACTAGCTTGTCAGTGTCAATTTGTATTAAAAAAAGTTTGGAGAAGATGAATAAAGGTATATAAAAGAAATATCAAACTATTACTTAGCTTTGAGCGTTTCGGGAACGAATCTGCTAAGTAAAAATTTGATACATTTTTTCTATATACCTTTATTTCTCTTCTCCAAACTTTCTTCAATACAAATTGTCACTGACAAGCTATTGAATTTTTCTTTTAGGCTCTCTGATAGAGAAATTCTTCAAATGCAGTGACATTTAGGGGCAAATCATCTGATTTGTCCTTACTACACGTATATTGAAATAATATTCATAGTTTCATTTTTTATTTCATAGAAAGGAGGAGACCAAATACCCAAAAAATATGGAATAATGAATGTACCACCTCCTTGAATAACCTACAGGCAGTATTTAAATATTTCTCTCATGTCATACATCTTTTTCGTAGGAAAATCCAACCATTCGCGATAATTTCCACGATTATTTTCGATTGAATTGTTTCCAGGGAGGACAGGATTATCTGATTGGGCGTACGAACAATAATTCGGTCGACTTAAATCGCAATTTCCCCGACCTAGATAGGATAATTTTCACGAACGAGGAGGAACATATCGACCACAACAACCATTTGCTGGAACAAGTGACGCAACTCAGTGAACCGGTAAGGCAATCGAATTAGGCCAATAGGAACTCATCATGAACGTACACTGCTGCCCAAATGAATCGTAACGAATGGTGTCATGATTTCCTCGGAATATCTGCTTAGGCCCACGGACTATTGTATCTATCTTTGTTACACAGCAGGACCGCAACGGTAGGTAGTTTCCTATACCTAAATCCCCTTAAAGCAATATTCTTTTCACCTTGTTACATTCTCACTACTGAGATCAATTGAGTAAGAAGGAGGTGAGATGGATCAGAGTTGTCGATTGGATGAAAAGAACATACTTTTATCTGTCAGGAAGGGCAAGGGAAGAAAACATAACCTAACATAATTCAACCAAAATGTAAAATGACTGAGGAAATTAATGAAGAGCATAGAAATATTATTGTAGTGAGTATTCAAAGGATTTAACCTGTGGACTGTAACTTCAAAGCTGAAAGTTCGACAAAATGAAAATATAACCTCACAATTTTCAGCACAGAACCACAGAATTACTAGAATTAATCCAGTCTCACCTTTTTCTCACTACAACACCAGATGAATAGCAAGCTCAGTTGGGGTGAGGGGAAAGAAATAGTCTCAATAAGTTCTTAAGACAACTCACATCAGACTAAGCTAAATGAAACATGTTATACAACTGAGCTATTGAGCTGCACTGAGAATCTTGGTCAATCTCAGTCAAAGTTGGTAAAAAGAATATTACTATTATCTACCTTCGTGGTATGATGTGAAAAAGCAGGTAGAATGAGTAGTGAAAGTCCATTCCATGAATTATATTATTTATTTTCAAATATGGAAGTATGGGAGCTTGTGACATAAAAGTTCATAGACAAGAAGTATCTGAAGAAATTCAATTTCGTCAGAGTTCTGGATTCTGGATATTTATCCATCTGGAAATGTCGGTAGTCAAAACATTTATTATCGTTATTGAAACTATTTTGTCAAATTGAATGAAGAAATTTGATAAGATTCGTAGAGTGCATTCTTGAAAGATTTATTTCCAACAAAATCTGCACGTTGTTACATATAACATTGTGACAAAATTCAAGTATACATTTCTCGCAAGCAAATAAAAATAAGTTCCGTAGTTTTTCGAGATAGATCAGGGTGTGGCAAGCAATATTGTTTTTATTAATTCCTAGACCCGATGTCCATCGAAATTGGTAGGTTCGTTTGCAATAACAACATATACTTCTGATGTAGTTGAATGAGAATCATTTATTCAGATCAGTAGCTGATATTAATATGAAAATCAATACCTTGACACTGTATGTTGAAAAGTTAAATACTTGTTTTAAATTGTGCAATTCTCCAGAATTGTTCTTCAAACTTGTTTCCTAGAGGTGAAGATAACAACTTTCTTTCAAATACCTTATTTTATCTTATCACTCCAGTTTTTTCACATGTTGTTCTGCAATGATCAAAGACACTTTTATTGCCGCCGATCAGAATATGTTAAAAATAAAACTTCACGATCATCCATTTTGTGTAGTGTTGAAAAAATATTTGAGAATCTCACATTCACATGGAAACATTAAATGTTAAATAAAATTTCAAAAATAGCCTTTGCCATTTCCATCATGATCAATATCAAAAAGGATTGGTAATATGGAAACCAATACCATAATTTTGCTCAAGATCTCGCTAATTGTATGCACCCAAAACATTTGAATCAGGTCATGAAATGCTAATGAGGTAGACCTTTGGGTAGATCGACATTGTTTCTGGGCAGCAGTGTACATCAGTGGTTACAATTATTAGAAAGGAGCTCATATACAGGCTAATTCACGGTGGATGGAACTTTATACGTTTCTGGAGAACGCAACTCAGGATTATTCTGAAAAGTTGGTGCCTCAAATAATTAGGTGTATTCTATCGACCTAAAATATTCTCAGCATTGCGACATTTCCGCTTATATCGAAAAGTAGCAAAAACTTTAATTTTTTAAACAAGACATCCTGTATATTATTCCATTTTTAGATTCTCCCTGAAGAGCTGATTTCATTGACCCATAATACTTGGGGTCTAGCAGTAATATTCGCAGAGTTATCAAATGTTGAATATCGAGGTTTTTCAACTCTAGGAATTTTTTGTGTCGTAATTATTCATAATTGGTCAAAAAGGTTTTCGTATCCCTATTTCAACATTTCATTCACTATCAATTGATTGATATTGATTATTGAAATAAATACAGGGTGGTTCAGAATTAAGATCTAATGTACCATTCACCCTGAATCAGCACCGGCAAAAGAAACCAGCCAGCAAACATTTTTGCCACATTGATCGCCCTGTAACATTTTGAATTCTTGTCCGATTCTAATGAAATTTCGACCTAATTGTAGATTCATGTTCCGGAGTCTTAGCCTGAAAAACCTGATGGCTTGATCATTATTGAAATGTGATCCTTGATTCCATATTAACACAATAGATTTTGATTCACGTCTATATCTACTTTTCAAGAGAAGCTACAAGTGTTTTGAGAAAGTATGGATTTCTTAAATTTCCCTTCCGGAACCATTCTCGAACCTTCTGCTACATCATTTTTTTTATCGCTTGAAGCGCACGAAAGGGAATCCCTATAATGTTCAAAGAACATCGTGCGTTCCTAGGGAGGATAGGGATAGGATTTTTTTTGAACTTCTGGAGATTATATATCCCTTCTTATTTTATTTTATTTTGGAGAATCAGGCGATTTAACAGATAGACGCAGCTATCATCGTCATCATCAACCTTGACATAATGATTTTTGATTTACGTCAATATCTTTTTTCGAAAAGGAGATACGAGCTTTTGAGGGAAGTATGGATTTTTCAATTTTCACCAACAATAATTCAGAACCTATAGAGCATTTTTGGGATAAACTCCTGAGAGCTATGATTCGCCCTACCAGAAGAATTTGTGGCAATTCCTCCTGCTTGAAGAAGATCAACTTGGTTCCACTGCGGTTAAATCCTGTAATAATTCAAGCTAGAGAAGGACGTACTCGTTATTGACTATATCTAGGAGGTCTACATTTTGTTTGTTTTTAGTAATTGAGGTTTCTATCTGCTGGTGACTGCTAAGATACGGGGTGGAAATGAGTGATATAAGTTTTTAGATGTTCTTTTCGAGTTGGTGATCGATTAGTTTATGTAGGCTCTGTCAATTCAAAAAATCCATGCTTCCTTAAAACTCTTGCATCTTTTATTGAAGAGATATTGAAACGAAAAAAAAAAAACATTGGGTCAAGAAGAGATTAGACTTCAATCCAAAACATGATGAAGCTAAGTTTATTATCACAGAGCGTTGAAAAGTTGCGTGAAATACTGATTTTTGTTTTTTCCTGGAAATTCAGGTTAATATTCCAAAACATAAATCTACGATTCGGTCAGAATTTTACCAAAATCGGACAAGGATTCAAGAAGTTACCAGTTCTTTTTTGCCGGTGAGTGCAGAGGTATGTAAAAATTTGTTCAAGCTTCAACCAGAAACGAAAGCTGTGATGCGCCTCATCATGCAGATTCCTTTCGTCCTCTCTGCCAATTTGCACGGGGGTGATTTAGTGGCGAACTACCCTTTCGATGAAAGCCGTTCAGGAAGGCAGAAAGACGAATATGCAGCTGCACCAGACGATGATACATTCAGGTGGGTACCAACAGCAGAAATTCCTCATATACGCAGTTTTCAATCGAACAATCGAAAAATTCTCATCTATCGAAGCAGCTGTTTCGGTCAATTAGGGGCCATCAGTCCTCGTCGGTCTACTCATAACTGCAATAAGCAAAACTACGGGCTCATTTACCACGGAAGTAGACGATAGTACTTCAAGATATGTCTGCCCCAGTATTGTCTTCTACAACTGGGAATTGATCGCTCTTCTTCCTGGTATTCTTGTTTATATTTTTCGAGACAATGAGGATAATAACAGGTACTTCAAGATCCAGATAGAACCTGTATTTTCCACTATGTTTATTTTAAACCGCAGCAATCGTCAGTAGACCGAGTGCAACTGATGAGCCGAAGCTCTGATTATTGACGACTTATTTTCAGACATCTCGCTCTGTCCTATTCTACTCATCATGCTGATATGGCCAATATAAGAAGAAAAGGATGTGACGTAGATAGCAACAGGTTTGCCAAAGAAGGAGGTATCACAAATGGTGCCAAATGGTACAGTTTACAAGGAGGTAATTTATTGACTTTACCATTATCCCTCGACATCTTTTCATTCAATTTCACGAATACGAAGGAATCACTCAGTTTCAAGCTAGTTTTTGAATACTGCTCGAAATTATCTATGGTGACCTCATGGTTTTGATATTCATTGGTTGGCTAACCTTCAGAAAGGAGAGTATAAGTATAGTGGGAGGAAGAATTATCAGAAAAAGGCATTGATATATGTATATATTTGCCCCCTTTTCTTGGATAGAATGAAACGATTGAAAAATTAATGTTTTTTATGTTTTCTAGGGATGCAAGACTTCAATTATCTGTCTAGTAATGATTTTGAGTTAACCCTGGAACTGGGTTGCGATAAATACCCCCCAGCTGATGTTCTGGAAAATGAATGGGAGAGGAACAAGGATGCTCTCATTCACTACATCTGGCAAGTGAGTGCAGAAATAGCAGAAGAATTCTTGTTTTTTGTTCTTCGATGTAGCGTCCTCAATTTTCTGAATATCAGAACACTGACGATTTTCTTTTCACAGTCACATATTGGTATAAAAGGAGTAGTATACGATTCTCTCACGAAGCAAGGTATACCCAATGTGGCTATTCACGTCAAGAATATTACAAATGGAAAGTCTGAGGATATCAAACATGACATTACATCAGGTAATTCAAAAACCCCTATATTGGGCATACATATGGTGATTAGTTTTGGTCCATGTTATAAACATCTTAGTCACAATCTGCCAAAGTAGACCCTTCTCAAAGATAATTTTAAGACGTACATAATAATATGTCGGTACGTATGAGTTCAAACATTTCGAATAGGTTCATTTCTTGTCTCAGAGACGTCTTTTTGGCATTTTTCAAATGTACACTTTCAGGTTTTCAATGCAAACAAAACACAAGCATGCCTTTTCTCTAGGAAAGCAGATCTCACTGTGCCCAACATAAGCTTGTCAGAAGTAACCATACCTTTGAAGACATCTATTTCGATGCTTGGTATTACTATCAGCAATAACCTTTCTTGGGAAAATCACGTGAGATCAATTGCTAAAAGTGCGACCCAAAAACTTGGTTCTCTGTTTCGGGCCAGGAGCTATTTCACTTCCAGTCAGCTGCTTATGATCTAAAAGGCACAGAGCCGACCTGTCCTGGAATACTGTTTCCATGTTTGGAGTGCAGCACCCAAACATACCCTGAAACTGTTGGATTCTGGTCAAAAATCGCAAATCGTCTCGTGAGTGATGCCTCGCTCACAAACTCACTCACTTCTCTGGAACATCGTAGACAAGTTGGCGATCTGGCCTTATTATATAGATATTTTCATGGACGATGCTCTTCTGAAATATCAACAATTGTTCCTCCATTGGCAGTCCCCGCGAGATTAACAACGGATTAACCCGTCGAGTTGTGGCTTCGCATCCCTTCGTGGTCACTTTGGAGACCTGCAGAATATCTCTTTCCAAAGACTCGTTTATCCAACGAAAAGCGAGGCTCTGGAACACATTGCCAAGGGAGGTGTTCCCCGAGACATATAATCTCCAGAAATTTAAGAAGAACACCAATTCCCACCTTATTTCCCTTGGTTCTCACGATGTTCTCTGAACATCACAGGATTTCCCTCTTCGTGGGAACCAGAACATAAAAAAAGCATATTCTGCAGAATAATGAACGACACTTATTATGATTGTGTTTTTTAGTTCATGATGGGGACTATTTTAGGCTGTTAACACCTGGAAGCTATAAAATAACAGCTTATAGAGATGGTTACCTTCCTCATACCAAAGTGGTGACTGTGACTAGTATGCCGTATACCCCTGCCCAGAGGGTTGATTTTGCTTTAAAACCCCTCAAGGTAAACACATTGTTCATATATTTATAGTTTTATCATCTTTGCGAGACAAAAAGGGAATTGCTTTGAGGTTGACACAGAAATAAACTATTAACTTGTATTCATTTGATTATTGTTTTCCAAATGAAAGGTGCTTTTTTACTGAATATTTTGGAGCAACACAGCATTGAACATATATCTGTGACGAAAATTTCGAAAATAATTTTTCCGTTCTACCTCTACAAACAATCACATTTAACGTTTCAATTTCCGAACGAAAAACCGACCATTTTCGAAGGCAAGTACTTTTCATCCACAGACACTTTTCGTCCGCTGCAAGGTTGTCAGTTCTACTGAATGTTCAGTAGATCTCCTGATTTGCATATTGATTTACTGAAACAGTTCATAATGTACTGAAAAATATTTTGACACTCATTTATCATTATAATTATCTATATTATTAACAATCTTTTGTAAATCACATACACTTATGGATTGATCCCAGTAAACATAACGCGTTCTAGAAACATTTTAAAAGTTCCTCAATACGTGTCATCTGAAACATTTGAATGTGATCATGAAGGTTGATACTCTCCCCTCGCGAGGGTACCTGTCGTGTCTCCATCAAGTCATAAAGATGACTACCGCAAATTTTACTATGATATATCGCCTTCCATAACAAATATATGAAATTTTGGAAACTTATTCGGAATATATTGAATATAATACGATACAGAATTGGGTAACTCATCATCGATCGCTGGCTTCTGGTCTGATTTCCTTTTTGTCTGTCATTTCTCCGTTAGGCTCAAATGGTCGATCGATAACACGTTATTGTTTCTTCGATCTAAAACATAGGGAGTATCAGATTCCGATTATTGAATAACTTGGGACTTCAAATTATGAGTTACTCATCATCGATCGCTGGTTCCTGATGGTCTGATTTCCTTTTTGTCTGTCATCTCTCCGTTGGGCTCAAATGGTCGATTCATAACAATGGTCGATTCATAACAATGGTCGATTTATAACACGTTATTGTTTCTTCGATCTAAAACATAGGGGGTATTAGATTTCGACTATTGAATAACTTGGGAATTCAAATTATGAGAGTTACATGGAATTGGCAACTGAAATATTTACGAAAAATGTTTCCAAATTCCGTTGCTGAAATGCGACATATTCTATATGCCAAAAAATGACCATAACCGATAGTCAACAATTTTCTCCTAAATGAAAGATACTGTATATACCTAACCCATAAGGCGCCTACCTCGGTTGCAAAGAGGGTTTACCGACGACAAGGGTTGATACTCTCCCCTCGTAAGGGTACCTGTCGTGTCTCCATCAAGACATAAAGATGACTACCGCAAAATTTTCTATGATATATCGCCTTCCATAACAAATATATTAAATTTTGAAGAAATATTCGGAATATATTGAGTATAATACGATACAGAATTGAGTTACTCATTATCGATCGCTGGTGTCTGGTCTGATTTCCTTTTTGTCTGTCATTTCTCCGTTGGGCTCAAATGGTCGATCGATAACACGTTATTGTTTCTTCGATCTAAAACATATGGGGTATCATATTCCGATTATTGAATAACTTGAGACTTCAAATTATGAGTTACTCATCATCGATCGCTGGTTCCTGGTCTGATTTCCTTTTTGTCTGTCATCTCTCCGTTGGGCTCAAATGGTCGATTCATAACAATGGTCGATTCATAACAATGGTCGATTCATAACACGTTATAGTTTCTTCGATCTAAAACATAGGGGGTATTAGATTTTGATTATTGAATAACTTGGGAATTCAAATTATGAGTTACTCATCATCGATCGCTGGTTCCTGATGGTCTGATTTCCTTTTTGTCTGTCATCTCTCCGTTGGGCTCAAATGGTCGATTCATAACAATGGTCGATTCATAACAATGGTCGATTTATAACACGTTATTGTTTCTTCGATCTAAAACATAGGGGGTATTAGATTTCGACTATTGAATGACTTGGGAATTCAAATTATGAGAGTTACATGGAATTGGCAACTGAAATATTTACGAAAAATGTTTCCAAATTCCGTTGCTGAAATGCGACATATTCCATATGCCGAAAAATGACCGGAACCGATAGCCAACAATTTTCTCCTAAATGAAAGATACTGTATATACCTAACCTATAAGGCGCCTACCTCGGTTGCAAAGAGGATTTACCGACGACAAGGGTTGATACTCTCTCCTCGTAAGGGTACCTGTCGTGTCTCCATCAAGACATAAAGATGACTACCGCAAAATTTTCTATGATATATCGCCTTCCATAACAAATATATTAAATTTCGAAGAAACATTCGGAATATATTGAATATAATACGATACAGAATTGAGTAACTCATCATCGATCTCTAGTTTCTGGTCTGATTTCCTTTTTGTCTGTCATTTCTCCGTTGGGCTCAAATGGTCGATTGATAACACGTTATTGTTTCTTCGATCTGAAACATAGGGGGTATTCGAGGGGGTATTAGATTCCGATTATTGAATAACTTGGTAATTCAAATTATGAGTTACTCATCATCGATCGCTGGTTTTTGGTCTGATTTCCTTTTTGTCTGTCATTTCTCCGTTGGGCTCAAATGGTCGATTCATCACACGTTATTGTTTCTTCGATCTACAACATAGGGGGTACTAGATTTCGATTATCGAATAACTTGGGAATTCGAATTATGAGAGTTACATGGAATTGGCAACTGAAATATTTACAAAAACTGTTTCCGAATTCCGTTGCTGAAATGCGACATATTCTATATGCCAAAAAATGACCGGAACCGATAGCCAACAATTTTCTCCTAAATGAAAGATACTGTATATACCTAACCCATAAGTCGCCTACCTCGGTTGCAAAGAGGGTTTACCGACGACAAGGGTTGATACTCTCCCCTCGTAAGGGTACCTGTCGTGTCTCCATCAAGACATAAAGATGACTACCGCAAAATTTTCTATGATATATCGCCTTCCATAACAAATATATTAAATTTTGAAGAAATATTCGGAATATATTGAGTATAATACGATACAGAATCGATTTACTCATTATCGATCGCTGGTGTCTGGTCTGATTTCCTTTTTGTCTGTCATTTCTCCGTTGGGCTCAAATGGTCGATCGATAACACTTTATTGTTTCTTCGATCTAAAACATAGGGGGTATCATATTCCGATTATTGAATAACTTGAGACTTCAAATTATGAGTTACTCATCATCGATCGCTGGTTCCTGGTCTGATTTCCTTTTTGTCTGTCATCTCTCCGTTGGGCTCAAATGGTCGATTCATAACAATGGTCGATTCATAACAATGGTCGATTCATAACAATGGTCGATTCATAACACGTTATAGTTTCTTCGATCTAAAACATAGGGGGTATTAGATTTTGATTATTGAATAACTTGGGAATTCAAATTATGAGAGTTACATGGAATTGGCAACTGAAATATTCACGATAAATGTTTCCAAATTCCGTTGCTGAAATGCGACATATTCTATATGCCGAAAAATGACCGGAACCGATAGCCAACAATTTTCTCCTAAATGAAAGATACTGTATATACCTAACCCATAAGGCGCCTACCTCGGTTGCAAAGAGGGTTTACCGACGACAAGGGTTGATACTCTCCCCTCGTAAGGGTACCTGTCGTGTCTCCATCAAGACATAAAGATGACTACCGCAAAATTTTCTATGATATATCGCCTTCCATAACAAATATATTAAATTTTGAAGTAATATTCGGAATATATTGAATATAATACGATACAGAATTGAGTTACTCATTATCGATCGCTGGTTTCTGATCTGATTTCCTTTTTGTCTGTCATTTCTCCGTTGGGCTTAAATGGTCGATCGATAACACGTTATTGTTTCTTCGATCTAAAACATATAGGGGGTATCAGATTCCGATTATTGAATAACTTGGGACTTCAAATCATGAGTTACTCATCATCGATCGCTGGTTCCTGGTCTGATTTCCTTTTTGTCTGTCATCTCTCCGTTGGGCTCGAATGATCGATTCATAACAATGGTCGATTTATAACACGTTATTGTTTCTTCGATCTAAAACAGAAGGGGTATCAGATTTCGATTATTGAATAACTTGGGAATTCAAATCATGAGTTACTCATCATCTATCGCTGGTTTCTGGTCTCATTTCCTTTCTGTCTGTCATTTCTCCGTTGGGCTCAAATAGTCGATTCATAACACGTTATTGTTTCTTCGATCTACAACATAGGGGGTATTAGATTCAGGTTTACCGGCGACAAGGGTTGATACTTTCACCTCGTAAGGGTACCTGTCGTGTCTCCATCAAGACATAAAGATGACTATCGCAAAATTTTCTATGATATATCGCCTTCCATAACAAACATATTAAATTTTGAAAAAATATTCGGAATGTATTGAATATAATACGAAACAGAATTGAGTTCCTCCTCATCGATCGCTGGTTTCTGGTCTGATTTCCTTTTTGTCTGTCATTTCTCCGCTGGGCTCAAATGGTCGATCGATAACACGTTATTGTTTCTTCGATCTAAAACATAGGTAGTATCTGATTCCGATTATTGAACAACTTGGGACTTCAAATTATGAGTTACTCATCATCGATCGCTGGTTCCTGATGGTCTGGTTTCCTTTTTGTCTGTCATCTCTCCGTTGGGCTCAAATGGTCGATTCATAACAATGGTCGATTCATAACAATGGTCGATTCATAACACGTTATTGTTTCTTCGATCTAAAACATAGGGGGTATTAGATTTCGATTATTGAATAACTTGGGAATTCAAATCATGAGAGTTACATGGAATTGGCAACTGAAATATTTACGAAAAATGTTTCCAAATTCCGTTGCTGAAATGCGACATATTCTATATGCCAAAAAATGACCGGAACCGATAGCCAACAATTTTCTCCTAAATGAAAGATACTGTATATACCTAACCCATAAGGCGCCTACCTCGGTTGCAAAGAGGGTTTACCGACGACAAG